TTTGGGACTAATTTAAGATATCTTTAGTAATTTCGGGATTTTTGGGACTTTCAGGACTGTATCCAGATTTTTGGGACTATGTCGGGATTCTCGGAGCTAATTTCGGGACTGTTGGGACTTTCGATGCTATTTAGGGATTTTTGGGACTCTCGGGACTATTTCAGGATTATCGGGAGTAATTTAGGTATTTTTGGGACTTTCGAGACTATTTCCAGATTTTTGGTACTTATTTTGGATGTTTGGAACTTTTGGGTCTATTTCGGGATTGTCGGGAGTAATTTCGGGATTTTTGGGAATTTCGGGAGTATTTTGGAATTTTTGAAACTTTTGGGACTATTTCGGGATTCTCGGAACTGATTTCAGGACTTTCGGGATTATTTAGGAATTTTGGGACTAATTTCGGATTTTTGGGACTGCCGGGATTAATTTGAGATTTTCGAGACTACTTTGGAGCTTTCGGGACTTCCGACATTCGTGGGACTAATTTCGAGAATTTTGGGACTTTCTGAAGTAGTTTCGATAGTCTTAAAGTTCCTAAATTAGTCCCAAATTCCCAAATGGTCCCGAAAGTCTCAAAAATCAAAAAGTAGTCCCGAAAGTCCCAAAAATCCGAAATTAGTCCCAAAAATCCCTAAACGGCCTCAAATGTCCCAAAACGCTAAAATTTGGCCTAAAAACAAAGATAGTCGCGGGAGTCCCAAAAATACTGAGGTAGTCTCGAAAATCTCGAAATTAGACCCGAGAATCCCGAAATTCCCAAAATTAGATCCGAGACTCTCAAAATAGTCCCGACAGTCCCGAAATTAGTCATTATGAGCCCGAAATAGTCCCGAAAGTCCCAAAGATTCAGAAATACTCCCGAAAGTCCCAAAAATTCCGAAATTCCACCCGACAATGCTGAAATAGACCCGAATGTTCCAAAAATCCGAAATAAGTCCCAAAATTCTGTAAATAGTCCCGAAAGTCCCAAAAATTCCTAAATTTCTCCCGAAAGTCCCAAAAATCCGAAATTAGTCCCAAAAATCTGGAAAGTCCCGAAAATCCCGAAGATACTCCCGATAATTTCGAAATAGACCCGAAGGTTCGAAAAATCCTAAATTAGTCCCATAATTCTGGAAATAGTTCCGAAAGTCCCAAAAATACCTAAATTACTCCCGATAATCCCGAAAGTTCAAAAAATCCGAAATAAGTCCCAAAATTCTGTAAATAGTCCCGAAAGTCCCAAAAATCCCGAACTACTCCTGAAAATCCCAAAAGTCCCAAAATTAGTTCCGAGAATCCCGAAATGGGCCCGAAAGTCCCAATAATTCCAAAATACACCCAAAAGTCCAAAAAATACCGAAATTACTCCCGATAATCTCGAAATAGACCCGAAAGTTCCAAAAATCTGGCAATAATCTCGAAAGTCCCACAATTACCCATACTACTCCCTTTAATCCCAAAATAGTTCCGAGAGTCCCAAAAATCCCTAAATAGCCCCGAAAGTCCCAAAAATCCGAAAATTGGTCCCAAAAATCCCGTATTAGTGCTCAAAATCCCAAAATTCCTAAATTAATCCCAAGAATGCAGAAATAGTCCCGAAAGTCCCAAAAATCCGAAATTAGTTCCAAAAATTCCGAAATACTCCTGAAAATCCTGAAATGGTTCCGAAGTCTCAAAAATCCAAAAAAGACCCAAAAAAATCGATATACTCCCGAAAGCCCCAAAAATCCCAAAATTAGTCCCAAATATCCGAAATCAGTTCCGAGAATTACGAAACAGTCCCGAAAGTCCCAAAAATCCTGAAATAGTTCCGAAAGTCCAATAGTTCCTAAATTAGTCCCAAAAATCCCGAAATGATCCCGAAAGTCTCAAAAATCCAAAACAAAGTCCCAAAAATCCCGAAATACTCCCGAAAATCCGAAATTATTCCTGAGAATCCCGAAGTAGTGCAAAAGTTCCAAAAATCAGGAAACTGCCCCGAAAGCCCCGAAATTACTCCTGACAATCTCGAAATAGACCCGAAAGTTCCAAAAATCCTAAATAAGTCCCAAAAATTTGAAAATAGTCTCGAAAGTCCCAAAAATACCTAAGTTACTCCCGATAATCCCGAAATAATCCCGAGAGCCTTAAAAATCCCTAAATAGTCCCGAAAGTCCCAACAGTCTCGAAATTATTCCCGAGAATCCCGAAAACCCCATAAATCCGAAATAAGTCCCAAAAATCTGGAAATAGTCCCGAAAGTCCCAAAAACTTGAAATTAGTCCTAAAAATCCAAAAATTGTCCAGGAGTCCCAAAAATCCCGAGAACTCCGAAATATTCCCGAAAGTCCCGCTATAAACTCCGAGAATCTCGAAAGTCCCAAAAATCACGAAACTAGTTCCAAAAATCCCTAAATATTTTTAAAGAATCCCGAAAATCTCAATCAAAGTTTCCGGGAATCCCTAAAGAATTACGAAATAGCTTCGAAAATCCCAAAATAGTCCCGAAAACCCCGAAATAGTCTTGAAAATCCTGATTTAGTTTGACGAATCTCTCAAATGCAGCAACAGTTCCCAAATTGATCGGTTTTATTGACAGTTCATCAAAAAAAAACAAAAATTCACAATGGTGTGGTATGACATAAAGTTAAGATAACAAAGAAAAGAAGAAAAGTGAATAATTCCCAACATTCTCCCCCACTAAGAACGAATGTTCTTAAATCTGGTAGTCGTGGTTGTCGTAAACATCAGGTTCTTGGTCTGGATTTGTAGGTTCCATTATTGGCAGCAAACACACTTTTGTAATAGGACGCTTCAGAATTTTACCGTTGCATAAAAGAGTAACCACTCTTACTAATCCATCTGTTCCAGTATGGACTTGATGTATTCGCGCTAATGGCCAATATCCTGGAGCACTTCGTTCATGCTGGAGCAAAACAACGTCACCAACTGTCAGATTTTGACGAATTTGTGACCATTTTGAGCGGGGCTGGAGAGTACGAATATATTCACCACTCCATCGTTGCCAGAAATGTTGTTTAAGTCGTTCAACTAACTTCCAGCGACTCAGAGCGTCAACCTTGTGAGATAACCGACTCTCTTCAGAAACGCATATTGTTGGTTCGCCGACAAGAAAGTGTGCTGGAGTTAATGTTTGGTTTTCGTCAGGGTGGCTTGGTAAAGGGCACAATGGTCGCGAATTTAGGCAGCTTTCCATTTGAGCTAGAAGTGTGCTAAGCTCCTCAAAGGTAAGAATACGGTCTCGCATTATTCGCCGAAGATGATGCTTAGCCGATTTCACACCGGCTTCCCACAAACCTCCAAAGTGGGGTGAAGCGGGAGGAATAAAGTGCCAAGTAGTTCCTTCATTGGCTAGCGCCGCTGCCAAATATTCAGGCAACTCTAATTTTTGACGTTCGAAGCAAAGTTTAAGTTCTTTGTCAGCGCCAATGAACGTAGTTCCACAATCAGAATACAGGTCAGTGCAGCGTCCTCTTCTAGAAATAAATCTCCGATAAGCCGCAATGAAAGCCCCTGTTGTTAGACTGGACACTGCTTCCAGATGAATAGCTTTCGTGCATATGCAGACAAAAAGACAAATATAAGCTTTAACAGCAGAAGATTTTCGTAGTGCAGAATGCTTTATTAAAATCGGCCCAGCATAGTCAAGTCCGGTGTGTTTGAATGGCCTGGTAGGTTGAAGTCGAACGGCCGGTAAGTTGCCCTTTTTTTTCATGCATTTTGGCAATGTACCTGACACACACAAGGCACTTTCGGAGTACTGATCTGGCCAGGCTTCGGGATGATAAAATCCAAAATCGCCGCAGAACATATGTCATCATCAATTGAACACCACCGTGTAACGTTTGGTGATGAGCATCTGTAAATATAAGTAACGACAGTGGGTTGTGCTTAGTAAGTAAAATTGGATGTTTGGTTTCGAAGGTGGTATTAGCCTTCGAAATTCGGCCTCCGACTCTAAGTAGGTTATTTTCATCAAGAAACGGAGCGAGTTGAAGAATCCTATTGTTGTTGCTCGGAGGGTTTTTCTTTGATAAGCAGTTTATTTCATTTACGAAGTCTACACGTTGAACTGTGATAAGCGCGCGGTTTATTTCGCCTGATTTTAAAAATCCTGTCTCGTGGCCTTTGTTCCCTTCGTTCTTGTGTTTGAGCACAGCTGACTTGAGAGTGTTGTAGAACCGGAGTATGTATGCAGTAATCCGGAGAAGTTTAGAGAGGCTGGAGTATTTTGTAATCAAAGAGTAGTATTCAACATCTTTGGACGTTACAGCAGTGTTGTGTTAACTGATGTCCGACAGTCGTTCCTCGAGATCTGTTTCCAAAACCTTATTGAGTTTAAGCCAGTGCGATTGTGCTGCCATTAACCAGGGCGGTCCACTCCACCACAGAGTGTGCTCACGAAGTTTAGAAGGTGTTAGGCCTCGAGTTAAACAGTCGGCTGGATTTTCGCTTGTAGGAACGTATTTCCATTGAGATGTGCTTGATAACCGTTGAATCTCGGCTACTCTATTGGCGACATATATTGCCCATCGATTAGAATAGCTCCGAATCCAACTTAAAACAGTCGTGCTATCTGTTCAGTAGTAAGAATTTTCAAGGCTCGATTCAAAATAGGTTTTGACTTTTGCCATTAATTCCAACAGTAAGGTAGCTGCACATAGTTCAAGACGTGGAATTGAAAGGACGTTGAGTGGCGCTACCTTCCTTTTCGATTGTATTAATGTTGTAGAGATAGCGCTATCAGTATAAACTTCTACATACACTACAGCACCATAAGCTGCCTGAGAGGCATCGCAAAAACCATGTAAGTCAACTGTGCTTGCTTGATTGTAGCCCAACCATCTAGGTATCTTGATTTGTTCTAGCTCTTTCAAAGTGTCACGATACCGAATCCATTTTGAATGAAGTTTAGGTGGAAGGGGATCTTGCCAACCTAATCCTTCCAACCACAGCTTTTGAAATATAATTTTGGCTACGATAGTGGTAGATGCGAGCCAACCTAATGGGTCAAAGAGTTTGGCCGCATCTGACAGAAGGCTGCTCTTAGTTATCATGGGAGCAAAATTGAAGTCGATTTTGAAGCAAAATTGTACCTCTTTGGTTTCCCAATACAGCCCTAGCGCCTTAACGAAATTCTTAGAAGTTAATTGAAATGAGTCGTGCTTATCGCGGTATTCCATTGGAATGAATTTTAAAAATTCTAGCGAGTTAGAATTCCATTTTCTTAAATTGAAGCCCCCACTTTTACATAGCAGAGTAAGTTATTTGTTTAATTCTGTCGCCTCTTGAATTGAATCGCAACCAGAAAGTATATCATCGACGTAGCTGTCATTTAAGAGAATTTTGCTTGCAATGGGAAAGGAGCTCTGCTCATCATTTGCGAGCTGATGCAACACACGTATGGCTAAATAACGCGCAGAAGTAGTACCATAAGTAACGGTGCACAGCTTATAAATTTTTATCGTTTTAGTAGGGTCTTCTCTCCAAAGAATGCATTGAAAATGTTGGTGCTCATTACTTACGTTGATCTGCCGAAACATTTTCTCCAGATCAGCTGTAAATGCTATTCTGTGACGTCTCCATCGATATAGAATATACGGTAAGTCATTTTGTAGTGCAGGTCCAGCAGCGAGTTGGGCGTTGAGCGAAGTCTGTTCCGGATGATGATTTCCACCGTCAAATACTACTCTTAGTTTTGTAGTGCTGCTGCTTTCTCTTAAGACGCCATGATGACAGAGAAAATATGAATTACCTGGAAGGTCTTTTGGATACTCGCCTATCTCTTTCATATGCCTTAGATTAACGTATTCATCCATGAAACTCTTGTAAGCAGTGCAAACTCCGGTTGTAATTTAAATCGTTTTTCAAGCTGACTTAGTCTTCGAAGTGCGTTGAAGTGCGTGTGACTAAATGACGTTAGTTCTGCATGGAGAAAAAAACGTTTAAAGGGCAAAAGTACGGTATATCGTCCGGCTGCGTCGCGCGAGTGGGTTTCTAAAAAATGTTTCTCAACTGCGGCTTCCTCAGTTGACATCGGTCGGGTTTCTATCAGGTCTTCCTGTTCCCAAAACAAACGTAGCTGGTCATCGAGAGAAAATAAATTGACGGAAAGACTGCAGTCATTAGGACTTGATTTAATCGGACCCGAGATCATCCAACCGAAATTTGTTTCCTGTAATAATAAACCATTGTCGCACTTGGTCATTCCAGAAAGCAAAATGTCGCAGTATAAATCAGCACCAAAAATAAAATCAATTTTATCTGGTGAACTGAAGTTGGGATCGGCGAGAAAGACGCTGGGTAATTTTTTCAGATAACTTGCTTCTATTGCTGCCGGAGTATAAGTTGTAACCTTTGGTAATAAAAGAAAGTGGCATTCAAGGTCAAACAGGTAGTTATAATGTGAACGCAAGTTAAGTTTGACAGCTTTTCTTGCAATAAAAGATTGTGACCCTCCGATGCCCGATACATTTGCATTTATGTTACGTGTCTTCAATCTTAGCAATTGGGCTGCATCTTCAGATATAAAAGAAGTTTGTGCTCCTTGATCGACAAGAGCCTTGAAATAAAATTTCCTACCGGGTGTTTCCACTATTATGCGAACGGTAGCTAGGAGTACCTTTGTGCTCACATGAGTAAATAGAGAGTGCAGTTTAGCTATCGATGCGGATACAGCTCCGATATTACTAAGAGAATTAGGTGAGACGGTAGCTGGATTGTTCTTATTCGTAATTGAGTTTCCAATAAAGAAATCGTTATGAAGAAGAGTATGATGCGACTCTCCGCAAACTTTGCAACGTGATGTGGTTTATATGTAGATATTGTTTAATTAAAAAATCCAGACAATTATTTCATTATTGAGCTTGAAAGCGAATTGTTATGCACTATGTAAAAAAAATGGCTTTGGTTGTAACAAAATAGATAATAATTGAGTTAAAATATAAATACATATGTATATAGATAAATATATTCGATATATACTTCGGGAATAGTTTTAAATATCACTTTGGGGGTTAACGCGTAAATAACTAAATATTAAATTAATATCAAATGGATAGAAAACAACTTAAACATCAATTCAACAATAATACCTGGATATTATAATACCAATGCAGCAGTATTCTTAGTTGCATTTACGAATTTTACATTAAATTTGCATCCTCCAACATTATTTGTTGTTTTTAAATTTTTGTGTTCCACATCAATTTAAAGCGACGATAGAGATTAAATAGTTATGAATTTACACACATGGACCAATGCACATTTATATGTTAAACTTCATTTATATGTACATCTTCTCGTTATTTAATCTATTGACGTACTTTATCTGGTGGAAGTTTGGTAAACTGCAAGTCGTCAATGAAAAGCGATAAAACAAATTTGCGTTTAACTCGTGTTCGGTTTTATGTTTCCAGCGATGGTATAGCTCCGATGTTGTAACAATCAGCTATTCGAATAGCTTTCCGCGGGTGCATTATTTGTTTCGAAATCGATTTCGCTCAGAAGTGCCCAATTTTCGCTGTCGCTGTGCACATGTAAACGTATCTCTTTGATGGCACCGATTTTTACATCAATAACGCTCTCACCATACCCAAACCATCGAAAGCACCAATTATAAGATAATCATCCGTGGTAGAATTATACGCACTCCATACAGATGAGTTTTCGCTCAATGAATCGGCAGGTAACACTTCAACGGTAGTGTTGTAGAACCGATCCGAAGGATGCTCGCTGTTGCCACTGCGAAAGAGATAACGACGTAGTAATGTTGGCTTCTCAAAAATAAACTGCACCAAATCGCCAGGTTGGGGTAGCAACCCCCAAAAATACGTTTCACCGCGATATGCACGCTTGAGCAAATAGTTCTTGTAGGCGACGATATTTGATCTCACTCTTGCTGGTGGATTGTGCACATGCGGATAGAATGCTGGCACTTTGGAGCCGAATTGTTTATCCTTCAACTTTTGAACCTTGCCCTTGAGCGAGGAACTGGTACCGATATGTTGAAAAAGTGACGGGCGATAGTGCAACCAATACTTGGCGCGCTCCAAATTACAATGCTTCTGATCTTTGTCAGAGCGACAGACTTTGGATTTAATAAAATACAGTAACAACCAATCTACGGGCTTATCATTGTAGAACATTTGGAAATATGTAAATTAATATGGTAATTCAGCTGATTTGAACATCTTGCCAATGAAACCCAATTGACAAAAGTCCAGTACGAACCACGACGGCTGATCGGGCTTTGTTAGGGCGCTCTTTGTTATAGCGAATTTCTTCATAGCAGTGATAAAGTGCGATTTGGCCAGTATATCATCTTCTAGCTGGACGTAGAATGTGCCTACTGAAGCAAATATTGAAATCTGATGCCTTTATATGGGCTTATCTTCCTTATTCACATGCGTATGTAAGTATGAATATCCAATATATTTTCTGCATCGGAAATTTAAACTTCTTCAAGTTACGTTGAATTGCATTTTATTCAGTCTGAATTATGGGAAATATATCATTAACAGGTATGAATATCCAATATATTTTCTGCATCGGAAATTTAAACTTCTTCAAGTTACGTTGAATTGCATTTTATTCAGTCTGAATTATGGGAAATATATCATTAACAGGTATGAATATCCAATATATTTTCTGCATCGGAAATTTAAACTTCTTCAAGTTACGTTGAATTGCATTTTATTCAGTCTGAATTATGGGAAATATATCATTAACAGGTATGAATATCCAATATATTTTCTGCATCGGAAATTTAAACTTCTTCAAGTTACGTTGAATTGCATTTTATTCAGTCTGAATTATGGGAAATATATCATTAACAGGTATGAATATCCAATATATTTTCTGCATCGGAAATTTAAACTTCTTCAAGTTACGTTGAATTGCATTTTATTCAGTAACAAACTTCAAATTAAATTATCGCCCGCAGTGTAAAACCAGGCGTAGAATAGTGTTGTACAATTACTGCAGGTGTGACCCTTACCTAAGCAGTTAATGCACAATTTGTTTTGCTTGACAAACTCTTTTCTGTCAGCTGCGGAGAATGCAGAGAATTTAAAACATTTGTATAGAAGGTGATTTCGATGGCAGCAGAGACATTTGGTATCTGATATGTTAGTAGTTGTTGCTGTATGAATGTTTGTGTGAGATTTTCGACGGAATTCCTTGTTTGGTGTTGTAATACTTTTATGCTGCTTCGCTGAAGGAATGTCTCCTTCGACAAATTCCAATGCTTTGTACGTAGAATCTAGGAATTTCAGAAAAGATTTGACTAACGGAATTTCATTACTTCCATTAAGAGATTGCTCCCATTCCTTTCTCGTTTGCTTATCAATTTTTTGAGTTAGCAAAAACATAATGATGGGGTCCCAGTTAGAAGTGTCAACTTCCAATGTTCTTAAAAGAGCAAGGAAATTACGCGTAATATCTAACAATTGTTGTATGCTATGCAGACGTCCGTCCGTGGTTTGTACATTAAATAATTTTCTTAGAATTTGGTCGACGAGTTTGCGATTGTTGTGGTATCGATTCACTAGTGCGGACCAGGCTGGTTCGTAACTAGCATTTGTAGCTGGGTACTCCTCTACCATTTCTTTGGGAGTTCCAGTGCAGGAACCTTTTAGGTAAAAATATTTCTGTACCTGTGTAAGGGTAACGTTGTTGTGTACGAGCGACAGAAACATGTCGCGGAATGGAATCCACTCCAAGTAGTCTCCGGAAAATGTCGGTAAATCGATCTTTGGAAGGCGGGCGGTAGCTGAAATAGTATCGTTACGAGAGTTGTTAACGGCAAATGNGGGAAGGCGGGCGGTAGCTGAAATAGCATCGTTGCGAGAGTTGTTAACTGCAAATGTGCTGGTGTGACTCCCAGGCGTCGTCGGAGGAGCAAGTTCCATTTGCAAGTCGAGCAGTTTGGACTTGAATGTAATGTACAGGTCGTAGCAGTCGTAGAATACCTCATCATTCAGATAGGGAACGTCAACGTCGAGAATTGAATTTGACCTAGCAGTGCTGCAAATGTCGTCATGGCCCTGTTTGAAGTCGCGAAAGAGTAGTTCAACTTCCGTAAGAAGACTTTGTACAAATCCAGCGGATTTCTGGGCAGCTGGTTTTGCCTCAAAGTTGCGTAAGAATCGTTGAAGGTGCGAGTACATTTTTCGTTGTCCTTCAATCAACGCACTAAGACCCTCCATTTTGCTAACGAAAATTTGCAGGTTAGGGGATCCACATGAATACGGTGTAATAAAGAATACTTAGCTGACAGCAAAATGTATAAACGCTGATTTACTGTTCTAAGTAAAATAAAGTAATAAAATAATAGATGAACTTCGTTGAATCGATGCAAGAATTTAGGATGTGGGACTAAGAAATTTCAAAGGTCCCGGGTTTCGGCACCATTTTAATGTTGAATAAACATTAATAGAAAAAATAGAAGAATACGATTTGTTCGCCTTCAATGTCTGATGTCGTTGTGATATATTCAGTGCGACTTCGGTTTTGCTCCCATGAAAACTAAGAGCAGCCTTCTGTCAGATGCGGCCAAACTCTTTGACCCATTAGGTTGGCTCGCACCTACCACTATCGTAGCCAAAATTATATTTCAAAAGCTGTGGTTGGAAGGATTAGGTTGGCAAGATCCCCTTCCACCTAAACTTCATTCAGAATGGATTCGGTATCGTGGCACTTTGAAAGAGCTAGAACAAATCAAGATACCTAGATGGTTGGGCTACAATCAAGCAAGCACAGTTGACTTACATGGCTTTTGCGATAAGATATTCAAATATATTATCATATATGATTAGACAATAGAGTGAGGTATCGTTTGGTATGATGACATCTGTTGTCAACTCAATCCGAATATCAATTGGTCCGGTTTTGATTGTTTCATTTTCATGAGATGCATCTAAGACAATTATTGGTGAATCCTTAAAGGCCTCGAGTGTTAGAATAGGTTGTGCTTCTTGTGAATAAAAATTTGTTTGAAATTTGCAATACATATCGTATAGCAATGAATAACGATTTGGCTAAATTTAAGTTTTCAATCATCATAAGGATATGAACCGGAGTTGAGATGAACTTTTACATCTCTTAAATTACAATGCTGAAATTTGTTATGGTTTGAAATGCTACAAGTATAAAACGTGGTCTTTCATTTTCAGGAGCTAGTTTAACATTCCATAAAATCGATGTACTTTGCGGTAGTATCGGATTATAATACATATCCAAACTTCTAAAGGATATACTAAGAGGTGTTCTTTTTTTAATCGTTTTAAACATCTCTAATTTGTAAGCGTCAGAGAGTTGAATATGCGGCACTTTCCAGGTAATGTTTAGCTCCGGTATTTCCGTCGCAACGGATGATTTTATAAAATTTGTATTATCATTTGCACGTACTAAAATCAATTCATGTTTAGCATTGACTACAATTTTATTAAAATCTTCAGCAAATCCAAGTAATAATTTCAATGGAACGCAAAAGTTGAAATGAGCGCTACTAAGTGACATTGAGTCACCAATTCCTGACCATCCAGCATTTTTTAAGGCATTAAGTTCGTTACTAGTTAAGGATACAAGGTTTTTCATATCTGTTGAAATACCTTATTTACGCGTATGATCTATTTCTACCCCATTAAGTTCATATCGAATTTCTTCAAAAAGATATGCCATACAATTATTTAACAACTTTATATTAGGTGAGACTATATGATCCGAAGCTCTCTGACCAAATCCTTCAATGTATAAAAAGATTTCGCTGGGTAAGAGATATAAATCTTGGGTTTTAATTGAAATACGGATTTCATCATTATTACCAAAGGATTGTTAATATGGTAAATAGCTGTATATTCCTTATTAATTATGCTAGTATCGAATTCCGGTCTCCCTAATACGCTTAGTATATTTCCCATTTCCTTTTTTCACTTTAAGCGAAATCCTAATTGTTGGAGAAATTCTTTGTTATTTGAAGTAAGAGTCTTAGTCTGCGCTTGATAATGTCGTTTTCGCTTATATTGTCTTCGTTTCTTTTCACAAGGACTAATTTCGATTTTCTTATCCACCGTTGATAACGTTAGTGAATTGAATGAAGATAAATTATTGTGAGATGGTTTTTTATTAAAAATAATCATGATTCTTTTTTAAGGGGCGGATTTCAAATGCAACCTTATCGTTATCTTCTCACCTCGGAAATTTATTTAATTATCGTCTTGATCGGTAACTTTTAATACGAGAGTGTGTATTGTAGCAATATTAACTAGTAAATATATTACATTAGCTGGTGCTTCGTTGATTTTATATCCTGGGCTAACGCTAAGAGCAAACTGATGTAAGATATGGGATGAAGTGTTATTTATATATGATCCGCTAACAATATTACAATTAACCGATAATGAATTATGTTTTGTGTTGGCTTCTAATTGTCTTTTGCTAAAACCTAATAATGAACCATTGGCGATAATAATGAAGAGTTTCCGTTTATTGTTAACGTTATTGACATCTTAGGGCCGGTTGTTCAATGTCTGATTTGCAGAAATCGGAGGTAGAAGCTCCGGTTAAATACAACGACTGCTTTATCGATCACATGTTATAAGCATGGTGACGAAAACGTCGATAATGATGTTTAACCTGCAAGTAGTGATAACCAGACATTGAACAACCGGCCCTTAATGTTAAATAACTGAATGAAATGTGTCTTATAGATTATTTCTTTGTCTTTTTAAAATCTTTTCAATCAAGTTTGTGTCGGGGAATTTAGTTTTCAGTAGTTCATATTCATAAAATCCTCCTTTAATTCCATTATCCTGGTAATCTTTTAATATGTATGTAGTAGGATTTGTATTTTGTATGGTTTTAATTGTACAAATCTCTGTTGTCTAATTTGGTGCATATCCTTTTTCAAAAACATGTTTAAGCTTGCTTATTCGAACGTGTTCATTAATTTTAAACTTGGCTTTTCTAAAAACTTTTAAATTATTGTAAACAGTTTGTAGTAATCGTTTTTCATTTGAAGGATTCACTTCATTAGGTGTCATATGAATTGTTCTATGAAATGTATTATTATATTTATCAAATAGCTCTTTATATTTATCAATCCAACGGTATGTACCTTGAAAACTAAACTCTTTCCACATCATTCCCTTTAATGCTCGATTAAAACGTTCAATTATGGATGCCTTTAAAATGCTATATGTGGAATAGTGATTAATTTGATTAAGTTCCATTAGATGCTTAAATTGAGTATTGAAAAACTCTTTACCGTCATCAGTTTGTAAATTCTTTGGAACTCATGAAAATACTTTTAATAGCATTCATTACGTTGTGAGCGGTTTTATTTTTAATTGCTTCAGTAGATTTATCGATAAACGGGATTTATTTGGAGAATTAATTGTAATCTTTTTATCAGTTATTTCACACGTTTTCTATCGTTGTTCAATTGGGTTTTGCTTTGGCGTTTTCTCAAAAATACGTGTGATGTTTTTTACGCTTACGCTCAAAATCAAAATCATCATTAGTGTATTTGTGTTTTAAAGTGGTTTGGACTTTAACACGTTTTTTATCGTTATTCAATTGTTTTTCGCTTTGTCGCTTTCCTGAAATTAAATGCGTTAGTTTTTTACGCTTATCCTCAAGGTTATTATCAACAGCTTTAGTTTTACGTCTTTTGCTTATAGTTTCAAACGTCTTATCGCACCCACACTTACACCGCCAAGTTCTGCTGCAGGGTTATTATCAACAGCATTATTTTTACGTTTTTTGCTTAGTTTCAAACGTTTTATCACACCCACATTTACACCGCCACGTTCTGCTACAAAGTCAGTATCAACAGCATTATTTTTATGTTTTTTGCTTAGTTTCAAACGTTTTATCGCACCCGCATTTGCACCACCACGTTCTGCTGCAAAGTCATTATCAACAGCATTATTTTTATGGTTTTTACTTATTTTCAAACGTTTTATCAAACCTGCATTTGCACCACCACATTCTACTGGTTGCTTTCGCTTTCGATTTGCTCTTTGGCTACTTAGTACATCAGCATTATTTTCATAATTTTCATCTACATTCATACGTTGTACTTTTGGACTATAGTAAGCGTAAGCGATATCATGAAATGCATTTTCGCTTTCTACATCCTCATCTTCATCAACGTCATACCTTTCCTTTTTTATTAATAATTTAGGTTGTTTTTCTTCATACATTATATTCGTTTTATTTTCTTGGTTCATTTTATTCACAATTTCATTCAAAGGTTTTGTTATTGGTTTAAATGTATATTCCAATATACTTAAATGATTTGCAGTATTTAATATCATAGCTTTTAATTTATTTCTTAACACTTGACGTTTCTCTACAATATTTTTTAATAATTTATTATCCATTTTTGTAATTATATATGTATATGTGTGTGATTGTTTATGGATCTGTTACTTCACTGGTCTGTATCTGGTGTATATATGCTATACATGTGGTCTATATCTATCGATTTTTTTTTGTTTATTCTTTCACAAATGTATAAAACTATGGAATCCTTTTCTATAAGGACCCTTGTTGATTTCATCATCTTTACTTATAACAAGAAAACCATATTTATCTTTTCAGCATTCGCTACACAAATTGAGAAATTTCGTAAATGACATATCACCAATAACATGATCATTGTATACATGCTTTATATTCAATTCATCCTGTTTGGACATGATGATCATATTAGCGTATTCACGCATTAAATGTTTAGGAATTTTCGTATATGT